GGGCACATCTCTACAAGGGGGACTCCTCCTTCTGTGCCCAGCCAGGTTTCAGTAATACATGCCAGGTATTACTGAAGGATTTCTTTAGAGAGAGTTGTCTCTTTGTCTTTAAAAAAAGTCTCTAACCTAGTTATCTATAAAGAATGAAAGGATTCAACCAGGCAAATAATGTTAATTTATTAAGTCATCAGCACATGGCACAGATATTAATGAACCAAACCTTAGTAAACTTATAACTTTCCTGATTTATTTGCAAAGCTAATCTTGTTTTCATTAAGTCATATTTTCCCAGTACACACATGTGCTTCTGAGAGCAAGACTACTTTTAAAGGCAGATTTGGCATTTAAGCAATCAATCATACTTTTTAAATGTTAAGCAGATAATTTATAATAAAGTAAAACTGACCTATTTTCATCCAATCAAATAAATTCCAAGGAATATATCAGTTTTTTTAAAAAGAATTCTCACTAGCTGAACAAAGAATCTACCTACAGGATTAAATAAAGGTAAGAATTTTCCACTACTATTCGAAGTTATATTCTGTAAAATAATATGTAATGCATGTAGTTTATGATCATGTAATTTTTTAAAAAAATGTATTTTATTGGCAGGCTATCAAGGATGGCAAAGATGCAGCTTTTGGAACTTTAGATTTTGATTTGCAGAAAGAGTATCTAACATCTAAAAAGATTACATGATTATTTCATAACATATGATATCGTAACATTAGGCTATGTCTCTGAAGACACAATAGACTCTCTCTTCTGAAGAAACAGTGAAGCTGGGACAAATTACAGCTTACTGAAGAACAATTTCACACTTACTTCTTGCAGCCTTTTCTCCATTCCCAGTAATGCCTGTCCCATTTCATTTTTCTCACCAAGAGCATTCAGTAACAATCCATAATGGGACTGAGAGGTTTCTTGCACTAGACAGAGAAATCGATACAAACCACATTTATTCTGTCACTTGAATACATGAATAAAATGCCATTCCAGGTTGTTCAATGGAATTGGATTGAAATACTATACTTTGGTGACATAACTATGAGGTTGCCAAAGATTGCGAAGTGGATATAACATTTAATACAGACCAGAGGGCTAGAAAATTTACACAATCCTATTTGATTTGACATTAAATTAACTAAAATACTTTAAGAACTGTATATGTTGCCATTTTAATTTGGTCTGTGAAGTTATTTTTGCTACAATGATCTGGTAAGCATAATCCTCTTGAAATATTACTTTTTTATTATTTTATTGCTATTCAGAATAAACATCCAAAATAATTTTATCACTCAACCAATTCTGCCTCTTTCCTCTATACCCTTATTTCTCCATTTTTGTTCTGATCCCACAACTGTGAGTAGTTAAAAAACTCAGAAACATTTGATGAAGTAGAAAAGATTCACAGAAGCTAATGTGATAATAATTATGTTAATATTGAAAGAGCTATGAGACTCTTGTGATAGCTTTGCACAATGAAAATAGACTCATTGTAGCCAGTTGGTAGCTTTTGTCTCAAATCCCATTTATGGATTATACATAGAGAAAACAGGCTGTGGTAATTTCTACATATCTGCCTTAAAATGCATAATTTACTGTGCCGTTCTGTTCCACTCCTGAAGCATGTTCCAGAATATTCAGCCTGGGAGAATCAAAGGAGAATATTTTCTTCAAGTAACATTTTGAAATTTTGTCCAGCTGAGGTTCTGGAAAGCCTTCCATAATGTATTTATACTATTTATTTAATAACTCATATGGCTGCCCAACGTATGTTCAGTAACCCTGAGCAGCTCACAAAAACAGCAATAAAAATAGAAACAATATTCCAATGGAAAAAAGACCATTCATGGCAGTCCCCAAAACACATCACCATACCTCCACATTACAGTTAGTGAGCTCCATCCATCCTGCAAACCAAAACCTGGAGGAGGAGACTTTGTCAAAGTGTTAATGATCAAGGGAGATGTGATAGATAATAGTTCAGATTTCCAGCAGGGAGGGGCTGCATTCCAGAGGAACAAGAGACAGCAAAGTTTAGATAGTTTGGTTGGAAGGGAAACAAGACAGCTCCTCTCTAGGAGTTCTCAGGGTATACCATTAATGATGTTAGTACTGTGCTTTAATTTGGCAAGATTTCTATCTATAGGAGAGGAATAATAAAGGAAACTGCTTTGAAGAAACTCAGCATGTCTTTCTTGGTTTTTTGAAGCCTAACATCACTTGCCAAACTAAAGCAAACTCCTTGCATCATTAAAGATATACTCAGAGAACTCCTAGAGAGGAGCTGTCTTGTCAGTCTTCCTCCCAATCAAACTATCTAAACTTTGCTGTCTCTTGCTCCTCTGGAATGCAACCTCTCCTTGCTCAGAATCTAGACTATATTCCACCACAGAATAATGTCCATGATCATGGTACAGGGCACTCAATCTAATTCCTTCATCATTCCACATCTGCTCCAATGACTAAGGCAGTTCCACCAAGTTGCTTGTTTTCTAAAATCTTTTCTGCTTGTGGAATATGAATAATATAGTTGAATGGACAAGAAGGATACTCATGGTCTCACAATGTCTCACAATGTCCCCGAATGAATTGACTATGCCGAGAGAACTGAATAGATGGAATTCAGTTTTGGTTTCCCAAGTACTTCTCCAATTTTTTTCACATTTATTCAAATGAAGAGCTGATGCAAATTATACAGTATGTTTATAATTCCATCAAGGTGTTACGAAGACATGTTTAGAAATTGGCTTGTTTCTGATTTCCTCACTAAATCTAGAACATCTGAAATTGAAAATTGTCCTTGGCGGACAAAATAGCAATCAGTCTCTCCAAAAAGCGGGCCTTCCACATGTGTTACACAACTAGGGAGAAGTGCTCAGAGAACAGGCAAGAGAAAACAATGAGAAACAAAGAAAAGTAAGGGATTGCCTGAGAATTCAACCTGTACAATAGGTGAATAGTCTCTATTCAATTATCCTTAAAAAAAAATCTGCTGAAACCCAAGAGTTTATTTTAGTTAGGCTGAGTATAAGGATTGTATTTTGAGTTCTTTGTGTGATGGTTGCCTTCCCTTATTTTCACAGTTTATCCCTTTTCTCCCAAACAGTTCTTTATATCTAGATATTTGTCTTCATTGGCTTAATAAGAGAATTTCTCATTGCAGGATTAGCATATGGTTTGCTAAGTTCTATACTTATGGATTTGGGGCAGGAAGATCAAAAGTACTTTGCCTTCTATTTTCCTAACTTTGGGTGGAATGGAGAAGCCCTGGGTAGAATCACTAAGATCAGCACTGGGTATTTGGGAAGTCCACAAATCCTAAATTAGCTAAGATTGAGAAACATTGACCTAAAGTATGTAAGGAGGTTTTATTTATTTATTTATCATATCTAATATGGCACCCATCTCACAAAAAAGTAAAAATTATATTTTATTAGGAAACCCTCAGAAGAACAAAACTTCCACAATGGTTTTACATTATTTCTTCTCTAGTTTCCAAAAATTTTGAAATACATCAAGCATATTTACAAGAACTTCAAATTAGATATTGCTATCTCTGATTATTTTGGTAACAGTTGAGACAAAAATATGCAGTAAGAATAACTGAAGGTAGACTCGCCCTGTGAAGTTTGATCCAGCTAAAACCAATAAGGCCTTAGTAGAAGAAAATCTAGGATGTGGCTACTAGTCAGTTGTAGGTGAAATTGAGTCATCACTATTCCTAACCTGCCTAACACGATAAGCTTGTCCGAGAATAGAAGGAGAAGCAATGAATACGAGCTTTGAGTTAAGAGTGGCTTGAAGTCACTTGAAACAAACACACAGACACACCTGTATATCTAGTGCTAACAACTCTGTCATGGAACTGATAATTTAGGAATCCCTTCTTTCCATTATATTATCCATTTTGCATTTTAATTCATCTATACCTTTCCTAGTCATTTGATTCATTTGTATTCATGGGGTTACTGAATTTTTCCAGTATTTTGCAAAATGTCTAGGCCCTAGGCTCTTCTTGCCAATCTTGTATTTACACAGCGCCACTTATTCCTTCAAGATAGCCACCAAGTATCTCTTAAGAGTATTGCCCAAATCATCCAATGAATTGAGCTGAATTTATTACCATTTCTCAAAAGGTTATTGCTCTTGAGGAATGTGAACAGGTAAATAAATCTGCCTTTTAAATTATTACAAAGTTAGTATTTTTCATTTTTAGCTTTGTAGATCTTATGTTAAAGCAGTTAGATCTATCAATCTAGCAATTGCTATTGAGCATATTACTTGAACTTATTTAACCTTGTTCAAAAGCTAAAGAAAAAGCGGAAGCCGCATTAAAATAAATGGCTAGCTATTATATCTAATATTTCCTTGAATAAAAGGTTTTTCATCTACAATTGCTATTAATGGATATTACATTATTGCACAAGACTACAACTGAAAACAGGATTATTTTTTTCCCTTTCTACCCCAAAATGACTACTGCTGAGTGACTGATCCTTCACTAATAGCTCATACGATTTGTTTTGAGCTTATTCGTTTAAGCAGCAGGGGAAGCACTGATGCTTTTAGTCTGGCTTCTAATAATATTTATACAAAGTCCATCCATTTTTTGAGATTATTGTCTCTGAATACCAGGTCTCTCTTTTTTAAAAAAAATTTTCCTTTAACGGGAATCTTAATTTTTTTTAGTTGAAATTCTAAT